GAGCTGTTTCAACCAAAGAGAAGGCAGCTCAAGCAAAGGATGATGGATGTCAACATGTCATAATCTACAAGGATGAGGATTTTGTCACTCGTGTTAATGAGATAACATCAGGCAAAGGAGTTGAAGTAGTCTATGATTCTGTTGGCAAAGACACCTTTGAGGTAATTGTATCCAATGATGAGCAAATCTAGGCAATGTTCTAAAAGTACCTAAAGTACAACGAAGCAAAATTATAACTTTGCTATGTAGACCCGATCTGTTAAGTTACTGCTATCTAAAGTATGGTATTGAGCAAGTATCAATCAGGAGATGACCAAGACACCTATATTTCCCTACATCTGTCCCCCCTCCCCCCAAGTCTCCAGTCCCCAACGAAGAAACTGACTCATACCAGGCTGTTCAACGAAGATCTCATATTTCTGAGGCTGGTTCACAAATATTAACCATACTTGAGAACATCTTGTTCTATGTTGAGTAATCTGAAACTAATGAAATTACACTTCAATTCATTATCAATGTTCCTGACTGTGTACTGTTGTTTTGATCTGCTGGTTTTTGTAATCCAAGGTCTAACTTGAAATTTATTTGGTGCTGTCTTTTGATTGCAATATTTTCTGCATCAGGGGTCGCTAGCATGCTTGAAACCCCGTGGGTACATGGTTAATTTTGGGCAGTCGTCTGGTATGCCAGACCCGGTACCTTTGTCTGCTCTTGCAGCAAAGTCTTTATTCTTGACTAGGCCTTCAATGATGCAATACACTTCAACTCGGGATGAACTATTGGAAACTGCAGGAGAAGTATTTGCTAATGTAGCATCAGGTGTGCTGCGGGTTCGAGTAAATCATACTTATCCCTTATCCCAGGCTGCTCAGGCGCATTCTGATCTTGAGAGTCGAAAAACGTCTGGCTCTGTTGTTCTCATACCAGACGCCGTTAATCTGTGAGAGCATGGTAATGTTTTCATTGATGTGTAAAACTCAGTTGTTGATTCAAGGACTCTACGGCATTTGTATTGAGAAACATCTATGCAGCAATAAAATGGATTAGACCTATTAATGTTTGGGTTGACATGCTTAACTGAAATTGAATTTGTCAAAATGGTTCTCTAATTTTATGCCCCGACGTAATAAGCGAGCAGGTGCCACACTTTCCACGAAGGGATAAAATATTTCGTGGAAGCGTGCAATTTGGAGGTGTTTAAAATTGGCAACTCTGGACGTCTCTTCGGTGAAGGCGCTTGATAGTGAAAAACTGTTAGAAGCCTCCTACATTTTGTTAGATGAATTTTTCCGTTCATTGCTTTTAAAATTAATTTTAAAGTCATATGATGTTCAATTATTAGTGTGATTTGATAATCTAGTCCACATGAGATTTTGTTGCTTGGTAATTTGTATAAAGACATATATTTGTTCCGTTGGTGTAATAGAGAGAAAACAATCAGATTGTTAATCAGAAAATGCGCCTCCTCTGTTCCAACGTCTCTTTTGTTTCTGGCTTCGGGGTCTATTTTGTTCTTTTCTTGCGTGAGACGTCTGTCCGTCTTTTTGTCATCATAAAATTAAAAGCTTTGTGAATTCACATGAGAATTGTTTGATTAAATTAGAACTCTCAATGGTGCCGTACCCCAAGTTCGGCTCGTTCGGTCCGAGAAAAAGTTTGATGAGCCCGACCTTTCAGTAAATCAATTTGAGTTTGGATCTAAAAAATAGGCCCGAAATAAATATGAGCTAAATTTGGGTCTCATTAGTCTCAAATCCAATATAGGTTCGACCATTTAATTACATATATATATAATATTTATATTTTGATATTATATATAATTATATATTTAAATATATTATTACTAAATCCTAAATATATACAAATTACAAAACACAAAAATACATCTAAAAACTTCTCTACTAGCTTTCTTGAGAGCTATTATTAGTAATACATAACTAAAACTCCAACTTTTCTTATTGGTTGAGTAAATTTTTATATTGACATAATATTGGTCGATTTCTTTTTTGTCTACAAACACAAATCATCAAGCATGTTTGGATTTAAATTACAAGGCTATGAAAAAATTCGAACCTTTGAAGATGTATTGACATACTGCATATTTTATTACTACTTTTCATGTATTTTGAACGAATTAGATATAAATATTGTTGAAAATTTTTTAAATTTATGTACTTTTTAAGAAGTATTACTTGTTCATTTTTAATTTTAATGTTGTAGTCCTGTGAATGTTAAATTAATTTTATAACTTAATATTTATAGTAATTATATTAAGAAAATTGAGGAGTAACAAATGAGTTTGGGCTAAACCCAAATAAGATTTAAAATCCGAATATTTTGTGAACCGAGTATGATTTTCACATTTATTAACCCAAAACTCAAGGCTCGAAACCGAAAGTATTACAAATTAAATGATTTGAGTCTGAACTTATAAAAGTCCGGCTCATATGACCTGATTGACAGGCCTAAATTAAATATTATTTTGAGAGCCTACATCTTAATATCACGATCTTTACAAATTTAGTTCATCAAAAATTTGATTTTAACATAAGTTTTCGATCATTATTTATCTTGAATTAATTACGTGAATCATACGTGATCATTTTTTAGGGATAAAAAGATTAGATATCATTTGTTTGATTCAGTTTTTTTTTTTTTTTGCTTCTAAAAAAGTAGAATTTAACTCAATATAATCAATTTTTCTTAAAAAATTAAGATTTGATTTGATTCATTTTTTTGTCCCCAAACAAGTGAGATCTAACCCTTTTGTAGGGGTGAGCAAATTCGGTTCTTACCGAATTCATAACCGATTTCAAATTCAATTCGGTAATTTGAAATCGGGATATTTGGTAATTTGGTACAAATTCGGTACGTACCAAATTCACCGAATTCTAATATGGTATGAAATAGGTAATGAGATTATGAATTAGGTAATAACCGATTTCGCATTCAAATTCGGTAATTGAAATCGGGTACCGCATTACCGCATTCGAATTACCAAATTGGTATATAAAATTATATAATATATAGATAAATGCTATTTAGTATTAGTATATACTACTAATACTTTATTATATTATATAGGTAAATGCTATTAATAATAATTAGTATATGGTATTATCAATTTATCATCATATCATGTACTTATAATAATAATAATATATAATAATGTACAATATATTATTTTAGTATTTGTTAATTGTTATATGACTATAATAATACCAATATATAGTAATACATAACAATATAAGATAACTATAATACTTATTATTTTATACATGAGTAACATGACTAGAATTAGATAATAATTAACACATATATGTATAATACTAAATATTAAACAATAAACATAATTAGTAATTAAATTTAGATATTGGTAATTTGATACATCATTCATGTTTGAATTATTGAATATTTGAATGCGTAATCTCTAACTTGCAAGTATTAGTGTACTCTACATATTTAACATAAAAATTCATATTATCTATTCACTAATCTTAATTCTTAAGACTTTAAGTATAGATAAGACAACTAAGTAGTTAGCAGTGTAAGTGAATGCATATGAATTGCAAATCAATGTACTAGTGTATTGACTTTCACAATAATATATGTAAGTAAATAAGTTTTATTTTGATTTGAAATAAATTATAAGTTTGTAAGTAATATAACTTATCACTACTCATTGTAATTTGTAAGTTTGTAACTAATATTACTTATTATTAATCATTGTAAATTATAAATTCATAAATTATCACTAATCATTGTACAGTCTAAGGTTTATTCTAGTTTAAATTAATCACTTTTTATGTGTTCCTTAAATCATAGACTAATGATTTTAGGCATAAGTTATCAAATAAGTTAAAATTCATATTATCTATTTACTAATCTTAAGGCTTTAAGTATAGACAAGACAACTAAGCAGTGTAAGACTGTAAGTGAATGTATGTGAATTGCAAATCAATGTATTAGTGTATTGACTTTCACAATAACATGTGTAAGTAAATAAGTTTTTATTTTGATTTGAAATAAATTATAAGTTTGTAACTAATATAACTTATCACTAATCATTGTAATTTGTAAGTTTGTAACTAATATTACTTATTATTAATCAGTGTAAATTATAAATTCATTGTAACTACTAACTAATATTGCTTATAATTAATCATTGTAAATTATAAATTCATAAATTATCACCAATCATTGTATAGTCTAAGGTTTATTCTAGTTTAAATTAATCACTTTTTATGTGTTTCTTAAATCATAGACTAAGGATTCTAGGTATAAGTGATCAAATAAATGCCAATTAAACCACAAAATGATTAGAACATAAGTAATGTGTTCAATTATGAATAAATTTAGGGATCAAATCAGTAATAATTTATAAATCATAGATGAATTCGGTTTAACCGAATTCATTACCGTTTTCGAATTTGAAATCGGTTGCAGAATGAATTCGGTTATGCCCAATTCGGAATTGAAAACGGTTTAAATTTTTACAGGTAGAATAACCGAATTCACCGAATTCAGTGCACCGAATTACCGAATTTGCACCGAATGCACACCCCTACCCTTTTGTACCTAAACAATAATTACATGTGAGTCACGTGATGATTTTAGATTAAAAAAATAGTGAAAAGTTTAGATTGGAATCAAATTTTGCTGACTTGTAAGGAATGTAAAATTAATATTTAAAAAGTGAAAAACAAAAAAATTTATTTTAAAAATGTGCGGGAGTTTTTAAACGATTTTGAGTTCTGTATAATGTGAAAATCTTTTAGTTTTTACACCTAAAAATCTTTAGTTCAAGTTCTTTCGCGGGGTCAAACTACTAAACAATAATGCGGAAAAATGGAGGACTCATTTATGATGTCTTCGAGTTCATCGCCAAAATGCTAAAAAAAAAATTTTCGCTTGAAAAAGTTCATCACCAAAACAGCCCCTTGATGGGATCACAGATATTTAACAGGTAATAGGGAAATTTTTTTTTTTTATTCGCGTGATTCAATTCCTATACTAAAAAGCAAAAATCAAACATGTCACAGTAATCTCTTTTGGAAAAGCCAATGATGAGGGAAATGAGCAAAAGTAAAATTTGAGAATTGACATCCGGTGCAGAGCAGGAACTTTTACCATGACGTTTCATGAGTTGGGAATCTAACTTTGCATAATCCCAATTCCATAAGCAGACGAAACAATGAAGGCATGCACTCTAATTTGAGTCCCTCTTCCCCGTTCCACTACTACAAGGTCCGGGCAAAGTCCGAGAAGCAGCAGCAGGAGATTGCAGTTGTTCAAGCACAGCAATAGCTATGGTGAAAGCCATCAGGGTTCACGAACTTGGCGGCCCAGAGGTATCAGTGAACGTCTAATTGTGATCCATAGTGAAGTTATCTTGCTTATCAATTTGCGGAACTGAGATTTATTTGTTAGAGACAATTATGGAACCCTATGCAAAATTCCGAGACTTGTTAGGCCTTTGGTTTTGGGTTCATTAGATTTAAAGTTTATATTTTCGCTAAGCAATACTAGTAGCTCCTTTATTTTACGAGTTTAAAGCGTGACCATGGTACCATAGGCTCCTTTCACTCTGAGGTGAGCAATTAAGAAAAGAGGAATATGTTGCACATGCATGAATGAAGTACCCTTTCAGGTGAGATTTTGCCTTGTGCAGTCTTGCACTTGGGCACAATTTGGTTTCCACTTGCCTGATTCCTTAAGTTCGTTTTGCATACAGTTCTACATCACTTTTCTAGCAGCCAATAGCCTGTTTTATGGCTAATTTGAGCTGATTGTTCATCTCTATATTGTAGGTCCTGAAATGGGAAGATGTCGAAGTAGGGGAGCCAAAGGAAGGAGAGATCAGAGTGAAAAATAAGGCTATTGGACTTAACTTCGTTGATATTTATTTCAGAAAAGGGATTTATGATGCCCCCTCATTTCCCTTTATTCCTGGTTCGTTTGGCTCTCTGACCTACCATAAATTCTGTTCTTTAGCTGCTCCATTGTGCTGACTGCTGGTTAATGAATTATAAGATTGCTATTTGGGTACATATCCTGTCATCCTGTGCCACAGTCCTAACTGTAAGCTGAGCTATTCTTGAAGAATGTCATCTTTTGCTCTTGATCGATTCTAGGAAAGCTTTGTCTTGTCATTTAGGAATAAATTTGAAAAGATGCGAAGGTTTTGCATTAGTAAAATACATTGGCAATAGTTGGAACGGCCTTAAAGAGAGAGAAAAAAAAAGACTTAGGAGCAATTATTCATGCTTCATGCATAATGTATGTAATACAAAGGTTCTGCTTGTTTTTGGCTGTCACTTACTGGCATGGTGAACAGCAAAAAGCACTGTGGTTCAGTAGATCACTATTAGCTGACATCAATGGCATGCGAACCAAATTCCATTTGTGTAATGACCTCTTGCCGTCCAACAGAATATGAACTTCAAACTACTCAGCTTATTAAACTATGGTAAAGTGGCCACAGTTGAGTTGCCCCTTCTATAAATCAGGGAGGACTACCTCATGAGTTCCATTAGGCCATTGGCGTACGTAATCCTTTACGTGTTATAAACTTGCTTCTTGTTATATTTGAATTTTTGTCAACAAGCATTTGCAAATCCTCGTCTACCCACTGTTGGAATCCATCCAGAGAAAAAGCTGAAATTCTAAGTACAGGAGTGGAAGCTGTTGGTGTGGTGACAGCTGTGGGGCCTGGGACGGCTGGTAGAGAAGTTGGTGACCTTGTTGCTCATGCTGGTCGTACAATGGGTGCATATGCAGAAGAACAAATAGTTCCTGTTGACAAAGCTGTAGTGCTTCCTCCTCTTATTGATCCCATAGTTGCAGCATCTTGCATGGCTAAAGGAATGACATCCCAATTCTTGCTGCATCGCTGTTTCAAAGTAGGTAGACCTAAGCTTAACTTGGAAAAGCCTATATGGTTCCTCCCTACATTGGATGTATATAAGTATTTGTCATGGGATTTCAAACCATATATTTGCTGTTACTGTTTATAAGAAATTGTTCATTCAAGCATTAAACCTAACCACATGATTAAGCATGTCTACCACTTGTGTCATCTCTGCTATAAAGATCTTTCACGTTGAGTAGGATTTGGTGTCAGTCTCATGCACAAATTATCTTTGAAGTATTTTTAACCCTGATAGAGTGATATGAACACTTTTGTCAGTGACATACATTTGCTGTGCGTGAAGGAGAAGAAACTACTTGACATTTTTCCTTTTGCCTTCTTGGCCAACAACTGACAATTTTCGGAGTCTGAATCTAGTAACTTGAGAAAGCTGCTTTTTCTTTACATACATGTTTGCCTTTGTATGCGTCTCTATCAACTCTGTCTTCATTTCAAAACAAAAACTTGATTAATTTATCAAATACCTCAAGCTAAGAGGGTTTAAAACTCAGGGTCATATTAGGATAGTCTGCATCTACAAAATGCATTTCCTTGTCTCCAGCTTTGGCCTTCTAAGATGGGAAAAATATTCTACTTTTATTGTCTTTGAATAATTGCTTGTAGAATTTTACAGGTTGAACCTGGACACAATGTTCTTATTCACGCAGCAGCTGGTGGAGTTGGGTCTCTGTTGTGCCAGTGGGCAAATGCTCTTGGTGCAACTGTTATTGGAACTGTTTCAACTCAACAGAAGGCTGCTCAAGCAAAGGAGGATGGATGCCACCATGTTATAATCTACAAGGAGGAGGATTTTGTCAGTCGTGTACATGAGATAACATCAGGCAAAGGAGTTGAAGTTGTCTATGATTCTGTTGGGAAGGACACCTTTGAGGTAACACACTCGTTATTTTCGGATCATGATCACTACATGAAACAATTGCTGAATGAAAATGAAGCAAAAAACAATACCAGGACTGCACCCTGCAGATATCAGCCATTAATTTCACTTGCTACCATCTACTATTTGACACTATATTTTACCCTCACCCTCAACCTAATTAAACCAACTTAATTTTGGGCTTGTCCAAAATTAATAGTTGAGACTGGTGTGGAAATGGCAATGTATTTAATAGTTGAGCAATCTGAATCTAATGAAGTGACGTATTAATTCAACAATCATTTAATTGATGTGATCAATTGGTTTATGAAAGCGAAGGTCACACTTGAAACTTCTTTGTTGCTGGTGTCTGATTGTTAAGTTTCTGTTGGTCAGGGATCACTAGCATGCTTGAAGGCTCGAGGGTACATGATCAGTTTTGGGCAGTCGTCGGGGATACCAGATCCAGTTCCTTTGTCTGCTCTAGCAGCAAAGTCTCTATTCTTGGCAAGGCCGTTGCTGAGGCACTACAATTTGACTCGTGAAGAGCTGCTGGAAACTGCTGGAGAAGTATTTGCGAAAGTGGCATCAGGTGAACTTAGGGTCCGTGTAAATCATACTTATCCTTTATCCCAGGCTGCTGAAGCTCACTATGATCTCGAGAACCGTAAAACATCTGGCTCTGTTGTTCTTATACGCCAGCCACGGATTTAAGGGGGGGCTGGTGGGGGCTTAAGCCCCCCCCCCCAAGCCGCCGGAAAACCCCCTATATATTGTTTGTCTGCTGCAACTTGGATGGAGGTAATATGTTCAAAATCTATAGATCCAATCGAAAAATGTGCCCTCGGGGCTTGGAGCAGTAAGCTAGCTAGCTGTATTGCTCAAGTACTTCATTAATGTAATCTTGGAAACATATGATTAGAAAATTATACAAGTTGCAGTCCAAGAATCTAGGAAATTAACTGAGGATAGCAAGTGATACAAACCATTCCTCTCACAGTCTTTACGGCTTACACATGGTGGACCATTTATGTGCGGAAGTCATGCTCTTATTGCAGTCTCGTAGAGGTGTATTATAATTAATTCTTTTGATTTTTGGATGGAGAAAAGGTGATAATCTAGGAGAAAGGTGTGTAATTTTCGGTTTGTAACACGAATTATCTTGAAAATTAAGATAAAAAGCTTTAATATTTGAGCAAATCTTATATATACTAACAGTATGTACACTCTCACCGTTGGATCTGTGACATATGTACAAAAGTTAAATTTTAAATTCAAATTTTGTATAATTATCATTTATCCAAAACTGACAGTTTATACACTATTCGGTGTAGGAAAAATTAATTCTTAAAATTTGTACAAAAAATTAATAATTTGGAGTTGATCCAAAGCTATAAAACATGTACTGAACTGCATAAACTATATGAATAGTTTGTTTAGCTGGAATAAACTTTTGAAACTTGACCTAATTAATGCATATAAGAAAGCATAGGATGTTCATAACAGTCTGAATTGGTCATGGGAAAAAGGATATCACAAATATGTTTCATTAATAATAAAAAATCTTCTCAGGAAGGTCAGGTTGAAAGATAAAATTGTTTTGCGTACTTAAACAGAAAACTGATGCTAAGGTCTTCTATTGGTATGATATTTTAGCTTGCAGAAATGTACTAAAAGTTATTAGGGTAGGTATAAGGTACAACTTTTCTACCCTCGATTCTCCCATTGTCTCTCCCATTGACCTTCATAATCAACCTAGCCTCTCCAAACAGTGGATGAGTAGGATGATTAATCCGATGATGACTCATCCCAGGATTCTTAATCCGAGAATGCGTCATCCGATTACATCCAGTCAGTGAATCAAATGGACCCAAATAATTCAGAAACATATTCTAGTCCTTACGATTCTATGGCATCTATATTATAAGAAAGAGAAAACTAAAACACCAAATCATCTTTTTTTCAATATATACTAATCGTTTCTCGGAAGTTAGCACGGAATTGCTTAGTTGCATAGCATGTCTTGATTCAAAAAGTTCTTTCTCTCAATTCAATGTGCAGAAACTACTCCGTCTTGCTAATTTATATCCTGAAAACTTCTCAAGTAACGATTATTTATATCTTGAGTCTCAACTTCGAAATTATATTTATAATGTGCAACGCGATCCTCAATTTTCAGAAGAAGTCTTGCTCAACAAATGGTTAAAACTGGTAAAAATACAGTTTTTCCATTGGTTTATCGTCTGATCCAGTTGGCATTAGTTCTACCAGTTGCGACTGCTTCTGTTGAAAGAGTATTTTCTGCAATGAATATTGTCAAGACTGATTTGCGCAACAAAATGGGAGACGAGTGGATGAATGACTGTGTGGTTGTATACATCGAGAAGGATATTTTTGCAACAATTGAAAATGAGCAAATATTGCAGCGTTTTCAACGGATGAAGACTCACAGAATGCAATTGCCTCCTCTTCGTTATTCGAGTGCAACAACTACCAATACTTCAAGTGTTAATCAATAACAAATTTTTGGGTATGTATAATTATATGTTTTTATTATTTTTATAATTATTGATTCTAAATTTTACTTATTAAATATATTTATTTCGTCTCAAAAAAATTTTTTTCATACACTTCAGCCCCCCCAAAAATAAATTTCTGGCTCCGTCCTTGCTTATACCAGACGCCGTTGATCAGTGATAGCGTGGTAATGGTATCTTCCAGTGATACGTCCAGCTCACTATTCATTCCGCTTCTCTGTAATGTATTATTTTTAGTGAGTACTTTTAGGCTGCATGTGAGTAGAGCTGTTAAGTCAATCGAGTAGCTCGAAAGCTCGTTAGAGCTCGGCTCGTTAAGGCTCGAGTTCGGCTCGTTAATTTTGGTTAACGAGTCGAGCTCGAGCTCGAAACATGCTCGTTTAGTTAACGAGCCGAGTAAGCTCGGCTCGTTAGATACTCGAGTAGCTCGTTAGAGCTCGTTAATGAAGGGCATATTTGTCATTTTAGAAATCAAAATTATAAAAATTAAAAATTATAGGTTTTTATTAAGATTAATTTGCACGAGCTCGAGCTCGAGCTCGTGAAGCTCGACTCGTTTGTGATAAACGAGTCGAGCTCGAGCTCGAGCTCGAGCCACATGTACATTTAACGAGCCGAGTTCGAACACATTTTAAAACTCGTTTTCCTAACGAGCTCGAGTCAAGCTCGGCTCGAATTAAACTCGAGTCGAGCTCGGCAACCAAATACTCGGCTCGATTAACAGCTCTACATGTGAGGAGATGAATGGTTTGAATTTATGGGCTGGGATGCGATGTGTTTAGGCCTGTAACATTTAGTCGTCAGTAATAATGCTACAGAAATAGTGCCGGTGACGAGGGTTTGTGTGCGAGATGGGCTTTTTGATGTAATGCCTTTATTTTGGGTTGGGGCAACAGCGATCTGCTTTATGTCTATGCTTATAAAAGAACAAGTAGGCTCTCAAAACACAAGCTCGCAAAAAGTCTATGCCAAGCAACCACTGAGCTTGGGTTGGTGTCCACCAAAAGGGTCTTAAGTCCTTCCTTGGCTGTAGGTGAAAGTTTAAGGCTTTGTTTGGATTGCCGGTTTCCAAAAATTACGTTGTTTTCCGTGATCACATTTCCCTATTACCTTTTTCCCTCACATACATCAAATCGCTACAGTAATTTTTCTATGAAAAATCACGGAAAATGCAATCCAAACACGACCTAAATATCGCTTATAGCGAAAAAATTTTAAAGATTGTATCAAAGCATTTCTTTAGCCTAGTAAATTTTATACACCTGCTAATTTCTCATATAAGCCTTTCTAGACTCCTCCTCCCATATAGTTTAGAATACAACAAGTTATACAATTATCATCTTCAAAAAAAAAAAAAAAGTCTATGCCAAGCACTTCGATTGCAATGATGGCAGTGCAATATTGATTAGCAGATTAACTTTTTTTATACAGTGAGTGATAGTATAGTGATTTTTTTCATACTAGCAATTATAGATTTATGTTACATGTATATTATTTGAATTTTAAATTTAAATTCATATTATGCGACATAATTTAAACTTGTTAGTTTGAAAAAAAATCATACATTTTTAGGGTATAAAAAAGTTATTCAAAATTAGCATGCCATTTTCTATTAATTAAGTGGTAATAAGTTCTGAACTTTTAAGTGCACGAAGCCAAGAAATTTAAGGGCCAAGCACAGATTTTTAAAGTACAAGAATAGCAGCATCCTTGAGGATCAACAAGTAGAAGTGAGGTCGACGATCGGACAATAAAGTCAGTAGTCCAGAGCCAGTCATGTAGGTCTAGCCTTCTTTGCCTATTGGATAATGGGTCCCAAGATCCAACTCACATTGGGCCTAGTGCCCAGGTCTGTGTTTGTGTCTGTGGAGCTGTGGTCATAAAGCGGAAATTAAAAGTTTCCAATAGCCGAAGTAAACAGCGTACAAGCTGTACTTTTGTATATAAAATGCTACTTCTTCCATTGGAGATTGGTTTTGTAAAATGATTGTTTGAGTAAAATAAAAAAAAAAGTACTAATGATTTGCAAAATCACCTTGATTTGAAGAAGCCATTTCACAATGACTGGCCATTTGGTCCAGTGGTCATCACCCTCTTTGGTGATGCTGGAGGTCAGGGGTTCAATCCCTGCCTCCCACAAACTTGCCACTTTTCGTGGCTGGTTTTCTGTCCCCACGGGATAGCTCGAGCGGTTCACTCCCCCTCCTTAGGGTATGGCGACCTTCCTTACTTGTCCAGGGTTCGAGTCCCGCTGTTAACGTGCTCGGTGTGGAGTGGGGCCTCTTCTCCCGGGCCGCAAAATTAGAAGAATGCTAGGTGAAACTGTCAGAAATCCCAAGAGAAGTTCCAGCAATTATCCAATTTTATGATCTAAGATTAAAGCATACCAACTTCTAAAAATTTTATCAAAAAAAAAAAAGTTAATCCATTAATGTCTGCGAAATTCTATTGAGATCATAAATAATTTAGAACCTAGAAATGAAATACCCGCTCCAAAGTCCAAACCTATAGCCAGCCAAAATATTGTAACTCTTACTATGATATATAATTGTGCACATTAGTAAAGTTAAAGTGTATTTGTAGGACATATGCGCTCAACATCAAAATCGAGTGAATTGATTCCTCATGCATATTTGACATTAGAAACATTTTAGCCCTTAAGATTATGCAATTTAAGCTATATATCCGTAATACACACTGCATCGTCTTCGATTCAAACTTTTATGCAGAAGGTGGACAAATTTTGTTTAATCAACTAAAGAAATGAAAAAAAAAAAAAAAGGAGAGAAAGAAAGAAAGAAAAGAGGAAAGACGCCATTTTGAAATTGCATGCATGGCGCAGCTGTGATGGTGGGAGTGGAGGGATGTTTGGGTGGTGATAAATGTGATGAAGGGTAAAATTGGGAACAAAAGTAGGGTGGCGGGGACCAAAACAGAAAGAGATATTCCCGGAATCGCAGCGGCAATGACACGTGAGATTGCTACAGCCTACAGCACGTATGGCAATGCAAATGAAAATGGTGGTGCCGATGCATTGCATGCTTATATACATACATACATATATATATATATATATATTTGCTTATAAGCATCATTTCCGTCCCTCTCTCTCTCAAATATCACCATCACTTTCTGGAGAAACTACAGTATATGTAGAAGATCCAAGGAGGCCTTTTTTCTCTTCAATCATTTTATATATATATATCCTACTACAGTTCACGAGATTGATTAACCTGCAGGCTTGATTATTTTCCTCAAGAGGTACCACTTTTTTCCATTTCCTGAGTATATCCACGGCTCAGGGTGGGTTTTGGTTTCTGAAGCATTTTTCTTCTCTTTCTGATGAAGGGGAAAGGGAAAAAAACACTTCCGAGTACTTAGCTCTAGCTCCGTGGGTTTCAGCAAAACCAAAAAGTTATGATCAAGTCCGTCTTTCCAAACTAGGGTTTCGTAGCAAGTACAGTAGCTGATTTCAAATGCCTTTTGATTCTTTGGAGCATTTAAAATTTTTTTTTTTTTTGCTG